CCATCTGTCGACTACTGTTGGAAACTTGGTGTGAATGGTCTCCTGAATTCAGATATATCTTCATTTTGAATATTCGAGTTATTGGCCTTAGAGTAAACGAGACCACTTTCATGAACTGTTTAAAATAACCTTCTACAAATGCTGACAATAATTTGGGAAAACAAGCCCAGTGAACTGTATCATTCCCTACCTTATTTGTTTTGATTATGCAGATGAAAAATAACTCAACGAAAGCAAATGCTTTTTCTAATCTAGTGCGGAAATAAAAAACACCTCCCAAAAATGGATCTGGTTACAGGTTTTGATATCTAATATTTTTTCTTGGTCTCGCGGGGGAAAAACAATGCCAAGGCAATATGTACTTTCCAAGTGCACTTTGAATTTGTCCGTTTTTGGCATACAAAGAAATATCATGTACGCACAGGTTTGGGTTTACCCAACAAGAATAAACCTAAGTGCCTAATTATCGTTTCTACTCGCCGTGAGATAAGCAACCCGCAAATGCAGATGGCACTTTCCAATGATGGGAATCAAAATTCCGTGTTTTTTGTAACATTGGTTGTTGGCCAGATAGCTGTTGATCCGTTTGGTGAGTTTGACAATCCAGTCCCAAATATTTCATCATTAAACGAGGAGACCTCTCCGCTGCTCAGTTAGACTGTCTAACCAAGAGCAAATAAACGCACGCCGGCTATTGATAATTCCACCATTGTCGACTGAAACAGCTAAAGCCATCACGCCTCGGAATAAAATATCAGTTTGGGCGAACCGTTTGCAATTAAGAATCATCTAGAAGATGACCTTTATGGTGTTCCGCCGATATCATAATAAAATAGCGTACAGGCCGAAGAGTAGAAGGCAGTTCAAAGCGACTCCACGTAATTGGAAAGCACTGGACGTTAGTTCAACTTGGTGAACTATACCTCTCCTTACAATATTTTCGCCAGTACGCTGTTATATGCATTCCGAAATTTTAAAAAGTGATTAACTAGTTTTAAGGCTTATCTCTGTTCAAACACACGGGTTTACTTATCAAAGTTTATGAGTCCTAATCCGTGAGCACGGGGATAATTGAATATTCATACAGATAAACAACAAACCTTTTACATGACTTATACTGCTTGCCAGATGTTAGATGATTCAAAATCGCATGAAAAATACTTGATTGGGAGGATCGTTCTGAATATTTGATGGATGATGTTATGCTTTTCGCCTTGTGGTTTTTAGGTACAAGCTGTCTGTTTTAACAGGATCAAACATGTTTCAGTAATGTAATAAATTAAAATAAAAGAACAGATGCAGATTGAAATTCTAGTTCAAACGTGAACATCAACCTGAGCAGTGTGTTTTTCTATTTCTATAAATCCCACGGGGATTTGGCGCAACGCTGAGAAAGGGCTCTAGATGTTAGCGTACGGTGGGCCTCGTGACGCGAAATCACCCTCTAACCTGGGTCTCAGCGATTACCCGAAGCATTAGGTGAGCATAAGTCGTGTTGCTAAGCGAGTGTTTTATCGTGCCACCTCCTTGACATTAAAAGGTGACGGACGGTCTTCATTTATATGTTTGAATCTCTTAGGGAAATTGCCGACAACTTCACGCTAACATGCAGAGTGAATGATCAAACAGCATTTTTCTCGAAAACAATATACAACAATGTATACAGATACTTGAAATTGTGTTTTCACATTTGTCTTTTTGTGTACAACAGATGAGCCGTCGTCAAATACGAGGCTTTACTTTGCTGTATCTTCTTTTTGGCAGAAATAAGGCAATCCTGGCAAAGCCCAATCAAGCGCAACCATAATTCTTTTACTGCATTTCACTGAGCTTTTCCAATAGGAATTGCGAAATGACAATCGACATAAGATATCTTTTGTCTAGGAAGTAGCAAGTCTTTGGATTGATGCAGGTAGTTTTGGATCCATTCAGACCATCTGAACTTAATTTTCACAAGCAAATGTAAATTTTCTGTAGCTTGCATCTATATGACCCATTCTTGTTCCTTCTGCAGTTATTTCAGTTACACCACAGTCAAACAGAGAATAATGCACTCAAACGGAGAGGTGGCAGCGGTTGAATCCCAGTCATCTGAAATCCGAGCTGGACCGAAAACCCCATTCACTAGTTTAGAATATAAATACTTGACTTATCACCTTTTAGAAGGGGGGCACTTTCAAGACTTAATGACAAGTCCAAAAAATGGACACTGGACATTTGCAGATCTGTTATGGCGGTGGGAATTTGTTTTAATTCCTTTAAGAATTGTAGAACTTAGCTGCGGATCTGGACACATTTGGTTATCTTCAGAATTCTGACACTTGTGAATGTCATCGCAATTATGCAAACAACAGTAGCACATATGAGGAGTCATATTTCTTTAATGAGGCTTTGCAGTTCAAAGATTTCTAAGGTACCAATGTTCATAATACACCACTGAACACACTTGTCCGATTCACCTAGAATCTTCCAGCTAATTTGTGTTAGGTAAGACTGAGGGCTACATAGGACCGCCTTAGGGCAAATCCACTCTGGCTACTAAATAATGTGGCCTACTAACAGATCGTAATGGAGGCTGAATGAGACCTCGTTGACGTCATATTATATCTAGGGTTAGCCCCCTCCATACCTTGTAAATAAAAGCAAGCCATTATCTGAAACCGAACAGAAGCTAATGTCGAGCTATGCAAATGTATGCAACAATTGATGAGACAAGTGGAAAAAGCTGCTCTATTCTACAAAGCAATTAACACTGAGGGCTTCATGTCAAACGTATTAGAGTATATTTATCGCAAAAACCAGCTCGTCTCATTTCAGCTATCAGCTAGAGTGGAATGTCCATTTCCGACATATTTGCTTCAAGCTGGACGAGATAGGACTTATCAAAATGCGAGCGGGTTTTAGTCAGACGAAACCCGTCACTGCCCAAGTAAAAGGTTGTGAGTAAAATACGTTTATCTAGGCAGGCTCAAGATGATGTTCGTAAGAAAAACTTTCAGTCAGAATTGAAGCTTGTTAAAACCGACCCAAACTGACTCCAGTGGTGACCGGTATCCCAATGTAGTTGTAGTCAGCTTATCTAATAAAAACCAAGCAAATCTGTATAAATCGTATGTATCAAAATGGGCAGGCAGTGTGCGTGATCGGTCGCTATACTCACTATACTATTTTCACACTGTACTGAATACCGAAGACACTTCCAAATTTTTGACTATGCTGTGTAATCAGACGGGGTGTAAATGTTAAATTGGAGAAGTTGTTTTTTATGGTTCGCCAAAGTAAATCAAGCTACCTTTCAGGCTTTTAATTTTTTTCATAAGCAGCACACGGTTTGGAAATTTCTATCGAAGGACAGCTCTTATGAGCGACTTGTATCTGCATTAGTTTTATCCCAACTCCGATCCCCAAACCCGATCGCATTACACAGCAAGTTTGTGCATTGAGGAAAAGTACATGTGCTTTGTTGGAATCCAGCAGCCGCACTGCATAAAAATCTTGTGAGGGTTTGGAAAGCTTACAGCCGTTCCAGCACGCAGTACTCTTGCTTGTTTATTTTGCTTTGAGCGGCTATAGTAAGAGAACGAGAGCATGCGGACTGACAAATATAAAACTCTTTTGCTCATGAATTCTGTGCTTTGGGTGCTATTTCATTTGGAGAATTTTACTGAGGGCGACTGGTAAGATTGCTGCAAGGAAAATTATCTCAATGGTTTTTGAACCGGAATTTCGCTGTCTAGGCTGTCAGTCACACGAAGGAGTCACGCAAAACACGTCTGAATTACATGAATTTCAAGGGATTAATGTAAGTCTGTCTGAAAACCTTGTAAAATGTTTGTGAGAAATTTGTTCACCCGTCAATATATGTCTGAGCGCTAGACTTTAATGTAGAAAAGCTATAATAATTCACAGACCGATAAGAACATACGGACCTGTTCCAATGGGTGCCATGTAAATTTCTGCAGCTTGTTGAAAATCAAATTTTAAAAAAAGCTCGCGTCCGACTAAAAGACTTGTTTTTAATGACATTTCTAAAGACCGCTTATTCATTCTCATCGGATATCATGGACTCAAGGGTCGAGATAACCAGGATATTACACTGTTTATGGATTGCTACAGGCACCTGCCAAAACCCTCTTTCACTCATTGTTTTGGTAAACACTGTGCGCTATTTTCGATACAGAGTGGGGTGACTAGGGAGCAAACAAGTGTTAGCTATATAAAACAATATAAGAATATTCATGGTGAAAGTGTATAGATACAACGCGCCAAGATATAGGTAAAACAGAGGGTCCAGGGTAGAGGACTCTTGGCCAGGCTCCCTTTCTTTCTTTGCGTCACTTGTAAATTTTTCAAACTTGTTTTTTAGTAGTGTGAGAGAGGTTATGAATTTCCAATTGAAATTACTTTGTAACTTGCTCAAAACGCAAGCACCACTAAACATCCGATTTATCCTTATTAGGAAACGTCAGCTGTGTGCACATCATATAAATAATCCTTCTTCGTAAGAAATAAAGAATGATGAATCTTTCGGAATATTTCGATGGAGGAATACGTTGTTTGGAGAGCACGTCTTACCGAAACAATTTGTTTACCTGAAATAGGTATGTAGGTTGGCGAGAAAAATGCTAGTGAAAGTAAAATGATTTTTGCCATTATCATTTCTTGGCTGTATTTCAGACACATGACAAATAACGGCGGAAGTTTTACTTTGAATAACCCCAAAGCAGAAGATTTGATTTTCTGGGGAGAATCTGAGAACCGGGGGTTATGCAACTGTTCCGGTCACACCATCCGATTAGGCCACGCTGGGGCAGTCAGAGACTGTTGGGCACATGTCCATTTGATGAATTTCAACAGGCAAGCTTATTACAGTGTTGTCCATTCTAATCATTATAATTTTTAATTACCTGAACACTCAGATGTCGATCGCGCCAGTTTTTTCCATGCATTAGGTCAAAAATCACGTTTAAGTGATTTTTGTTTTTTTAAAGCTTTTGCAGGAGTCTGACAGCGAACCGTCGGTCATTTTAGCGGACCATGTCTATAGCGCCTCAACACTATCTGAAATAAATGATAAAACATTTGAACACGTAAGGATCTACACGGATGCTGGCCCCGAAATAAGAGACTTTAGATAACGAAAACACCACAACCAGATACCTCAAATCAGGCTGGAAATCCAATGTAATGCAACGAAGCATATTCATAAAAGAGCGACTTTATCAAATTTGAAGGTCGTTTTAATGTTTATGTGAGCTAGTCACGTCTGAATGCATTATAACAGGCATTCTCATATTTCCGCTATTCATTGAAAACTGTGAAAAACCTATAGAGAAACGCCATAAGCTGCAGGTGCGAGATAGCTCTCTTATCCGTTACGCTGATCAAGGGACAGAATTTACTAGCAGGTTACTCGTTTTGGCTTCAATCAGGATAAGAAGCTCTGAAATCTGCTCAGAACTATGACAACACACTATCAGTTTTGCCATTTGTATTTGATTTGATAGCAGTGATCGCGAAACAGTTTTTATAATTTTACACCAAATATATCGCATAAGGAAGCATATGTCAGTTGAAGTTGAGGTGTTTTCATTTTGAGGGGCAAATATAGAGTAGGTCATTTGAACACATAATTTGAGTCTCGGTCTTACTGTTAGAAACCAAAGATGTTTGTGCGCTTTGACAAGTAAATCCCCATCGGGACATAACTAAATTTTACTGTTGATGTAAACTATGTCTTAAGCGTAAGATCCTCTCGTGTAATATTAGCAGTCGAAAGCACATTTGCCTCTCTAGAAACAGCTGGACGTATGATTTGGAGGCGTCCTGCTTCGGTTAATGTTCTTCAGCAACCACCGACAATTCATGTCTTGAAACAAGGAGTGTTCTACTCACACTATCAGCCGGTTGTAAACGTGAGGTATGCCTAATGCAGTTACTTTATTTCGGCTAATGTTTATAATCAGGGATAGCAGATATCGTACACTGATTTGCCTGATGCGGGAAGTACATCCAGTTAGGCTAAATGTATGCTATTTTGAGCACGTGTGTGTGCAAAGTAATTTCAGGAAAACTAGATAGGCACAACTATGCGGAAGTAAATATGAGACCTATTCGAATGTTTGTTGGTGAGTTGATCTTACTCGGACACATAAGTTAGGCGTAAGTTTGGAACTGGTATCCTTCTAATCACGCACTCGTGTATACAATCCCACATAAAACTCCTTTAATGGACACGATTTGATGAGTCATGTGCAATGCATGTCAAGATGATTGCATGCAGAGATGTTGTGACAAAAAAAGTGAAGGTTCAGTAAACCGTATGCTCATTTCTTGTTGTATATAGTGGATATTTGGGTCTCAGGTTGTTGCTTTCCCCAAAGGTAACACATTTTTCAAGGTGGTGGCTATCGACATTAACTTCTTCCAAGGAGCAAAACATAAAGCACAGAAATGAGTGGCCCTCATTGTCTTGTCAACTGAAAACTTTGATATAAATGCTGGTTTATGAATCTATTCCAGGGGTTCTACACTCTTCAAGATAGTCGACGAATTTCCCGCCTGTGAATGATTATAACTTAACCTGATCATGCCACTCATTTTTCAAGAAAAAGCCCATAAAGGCACTTTTGGTGTCACCAGTGTCCGTCATGAAGAGATTATAAGTAACCATAATGTGACGGTGTGTGCATTTACACAAAACAATTAGTTATACCGGGAATTTTACGGGCGATACTCACAGAATTTCTCGTACCAAGTAAAAGTGTGAATAATAGTCTCCTGGTCCTCTACTGCCCCTTCAACCGCTGCTTCCTTGCTTTTGAGCCAAACGCTTTGGCAAAGGTCCTCCCGGGTAGCCCCCGTACAAATGACTTGCCCAATTATAGTTAATATCACACCACATTGGCCGGGCCATCAATCGAGCCGCCTTACTTGCCGGTGGGTGAACGAAAACAGGCCACTGCTGATGCCACCCTTTTTCCTGTTTCACACATTTGCTCTTCTCCCATACTCACTCCGTTTTTAGCGACATCTCCGTAGACCAATGCTCAGGGACAGGCAAGTCTGTTCGTCACTCATTGTCACTAGCTGCAACATCCACATTGGACTCGGCCACGAAGGTCACAAACACTTCAGAGTTTTTGGTGGATATATTACTTGGGCAGCGTTCCGCTTCTGACACAAAAGCTTCGTCAGGCCAAGCGACTAGGTTCCGAGGTTTGTCGAGATTTAAGGCAAGAGAAGAACTAATCAACTAAGTCAAGCTAAATCTCTGTTGGGTGTCGGCCGAGGGATTTTAGTGTGTTAGAGTGATTGAAGAAGTGTTGGGTCGGTGAGAAAACCTACATGTAGTTGGGTCCAGTCTAGGGTCTAGTTTTCTGGTTAGGTTCATTTGATGGTTCCTCTTGAACTTCGTTTGAATCTTCTGTCAGTCTGTGTGGGTAAGCTAGTTCTAAGAGGGATGCTGTGACCTTTGGTCGGTTGGGATTTCCATCCACACCCCCCGGTTTTTTCTAATGATCCTACGTGAATTGACAACCATACCATCACCTGTCAGCTCGGCTTATCTAAGACCGCTTTCCATACGCTTTCCAAATTCCCACCCTCCATTCTATTCACGCTGTGAGGCTTGGTGATTTCCACCGCCTCGGTTAGCAGCCGCCATGGTGTGAATCGCAGTCCCCGTCTTAAAACTTCCATATTCTCCAGATCTATTCTGTCTTGTGTCTAAGGCAGGTGTCGCCATCGCTGAGTCTTTGATCGGCGTTTGGTATTCTTCTGCATTCCTTAGTGATTTGTTAATCCTTCTTTTATGCTCACCAATTCTGGTGTGCAATTCCCTGGCAGTTTGTCCTATATAAACCTTAGTACAATCGTTGCAGTTAGTTGTATACACACAGTCCCTAATCATCTCAGCCGGCAAGGAATCTTTCAATTGCACCAAAACCGAGCGTAGCGTTTTCTCCTTCTGGAAAGCCACTCGAATGTTGGCTAAGTTCAACATTCTTCTAATAACCTCAGACGTTCCTGTTTTATATGGTATGAATGCTGTGCCAGTCCATTCCTTACTGGGTCAAGATACGGAAGCCAATATCTTTACTAGTTGACGCTTAATAATACCCACTGGGTATCCTATTTCTTGGGGTCTGTTGGTAATCTCGATTTGAGCTACCGTTTGGTCGACCTATTCTGTGCACAGCTCTCTGATTCGACGAAACATTGATGTGACAATACTGGCGTACACGGATTTTGAGTGTGATGATGAATAGCTTAAGACTGTTTCTGTGTCTGTTGCTTTCTAGTAGATAATTAGCTTTTAATTTCCCACCAATCTTATGTGTCACACAGTCCAGAAAGTGTTATGTGCCCGAGTTGGACTCTATATACACGCTATGCTTGATGTGTGGGTTTAAACTATTGAAATAGTCGTGGAAGTTGTTCACGTTATCTCGTTTGACCACAACAGAGGTGTCGTCACCATAACGCCAAAAAACTTTGGGTGGACAATGATATCCGACTAAGGCTATTTGTTCGAAGTCTTCCAAATAAATATTAGCTAAAACTGGGGATATTGGAGGTCCCATTGCAAGACCTTGTTCTTGTGAGTAAACAGTTGTGTCAAAGGCAAACTGATCAAGATTCAAACACACTCTTATGCCCTCGACTATTTCATCCACCGCGAGGTATGTCCGTTCCCCGGGTGTCGTGTCTACCAGTAACAACCTCTTAGTTACCTCCAGAGCATCTGCCACAGGGCTGTTTGTGTACACTGTGATTGTGAGGACTTCGTTGACCTTGCTGGCAAAGTTGTACGAATTCCTAATGAAGGTGATTGGTTTTCCCGTGAGTGGTTTTAGTATACCAGCTAAGAATCTGGCCAGTTCATGTGGTGGAGAGCCTATACCATCCACCATCGGCCCTATCGGGACATCTGCCTTGTGGATTTTTGGCAGTCCGTAGAGTCGCGGTTGAATCGCGCTATTTGTATACAAACAATACCACTTACCTTGCCCTAAATGGTTGATTACGGATTTTAAATATCTCCCAATTTCAATTGTACTCTCAATCATTATTGAAGTTATTCTTCAACTCCGGCGGCACAGCTCTCCTGCCAGCCTTTGAGGCCTTCAGTCTGAAACATAATGGGAAGAAGACTATTCTTGCATTTATGCTACTCTCGCATTTCATTGATGTGCACTGCTATTATGAGACGATGATTCAAGATCTAGGCACGGTTGTGTAACTGGCTTCCCCATTAGTTTCCGCTCGCTTTCAGTTGCACACTCTGGTGATCTGGAAGCCGCTACCACTGGTTATATTGGGGTGGCTATTGTTCTAAACCATCGAGCTGAAGGGTCTCTGGTTGAGTGTTTGTCAAATGCAAGTCGCTTCTGTGCGGTTATTTGACAAAGGTTCTAGGAATATCCGTTAATTTTTTATTGCATCCGCTTATGTAGCAACACACTGTAATTCTGTTACATTCGTAGACAGTTTTCACGACAGCCGGACACCTTATTGTGGCAGGATAAGACCTCATATATTGTTGTGGTTGCCGCATATACGAATGGGCACGTAGATAGATTTAACGCTTCTGAGGCTGAATCGGCTTGTCAGCTAGGACTGGAATCGGGACACTCTAACAACGGCGAACGTTTTATGCGGTTATGTTGCAACCACAGACCGCATATATGCAGTGGTTTCCCCCTGCACTCAAAACAACCTCCAACATAGATTCAATGTATCGCATTAGCAATAGGTGGCATGGGTTGATTACTGATTGCTGCTCGTTCTAAATCAAGCTTATCAAGAACACTTACTGAAGCTCCGCTCAGAAATGACTGTTGACTATCACTGCAGGATACCGTCTGCAACCCTGCAAGATACTTGTGTAACGCTGCAGAACGATTCATTGAACCACACGTAGACAGCGGATCTTGAATGGCACCACAGAATTGCTTTGAGCTCGGACGTGCATTGCTCTCAGTCAAGAGTACATAACTTCTCGGCAAACTGTCAGACTTAAGACGAAGAAAGCATCAGCTGAGATAGAAACACCTGGTGGATCCAAAAAGCTGAAGAGATGGAAGAGAACAGAGGCTCTGGGAATTCGTTTAAGCTGTTCCAGATGATATGCAAAATAGGCCCGAAAAGCCTCCAGCAAAGGAAATAAATCACTGATGGCAACTTATGGAAACGAAGGGCACCTGAGACATCATAGTGAACACTTTCAGGGCGAATCCAACTGAATGATTGCCAGAGTCCCAAGTTGTAGCCCCGACTACTTCGAAATTAGGCGAATGCCTTTGTCCCTTGATTACCATCGAATTGCTGGTGCTGGAGAACCCTCGCCTTTAACCAGAGATGAAGCTAAAATCTTCAGTTGATTAATATCGTATTTGGGTCCATCTTGGGGAAGGACTGAATATGGCAATCACATCAGAATCAGCTTGACCCTCGTCTTAACCAGCTACCTTGTTTCGCCTATCCTAATTCGCTTGACGATGCTCGTGAAAAGAAAACCAGAGAACCCCAAGCAGGGCTTGAATGTGAATGAGCAGTGTAAATCCACACACTAAATCACTTGTTGGAGAAACACTATGTATGGGAGTGTTCTTTATCTCCAAGAGTGCCCCTGGTTCTTTCGGCTGGCTGGTTCCTTCAAACATCCTTGCTCAACGGAGTATGCCCGAGAAATTCGTAGATATCATACTTTGTTTGGATTTACATACCTAAGGGGTATGGGAGTCTGCGAGGGCCCTCCAAGAGCTTTCCCACAAACAGTGGCGCATGACAAGAATGTTCATTTTCGTCACTTTGGGGAACACTATATGCATCATGAAAGTTGCGTATTAGTGGAAGTTAGTGGTGGCACAACAGAAGAAATGGGTATACCAGAATCATGTCTGTTATTTATATGTCGTCAAAACACATTTCACTGGATCTCAAAGGACGCGTGTATCAGACCGTAGTACGGGCTGTATTGCTATAGTGCAAGACTTGACCGCTTCGGGTAGATAATTTGAAGAAGAATCAGGTCTTTGACAACGAATGTTTTAAACTATGTCAGAAATCGGCGGAAAGCAGCGAATTCGCAATGAGCTGACCGGGCGACGGGATTCTGTTGAAGCAGTGGTTAGTTCCCTCAATGAGTGCATTCAGAACTGAAAGCTAAGTTAATTGGTCCATGTTTTACGCATGCGTACTGAGAGGCGCTGTTTTCAGTGTCTCGTTCGGAGTGACAGAACCTACAGGTGAACAGAATTTAGCATGACAGAAGGAAATAACGGATATTACGGAAAGTTTGCGTCCAGCTGGTGCTGTTCGGTTATCCGCATAGGGTTACTCGACACTCAGGGTGTTTGGATAAAGACTGAACCATAAAGCGGCCAACCAGTATCAGTGGCGTTCATGCTGTCAGTTCCTATCCGAAGAGTCTGTCTGAGTTTGCGAGGGTGTAGGCAACTCGAATTTTTGCACTTCTCTTTCATCCATTCCTTTTTCCTTCTATATCGGGCTTTAAAGAAATGAGTTGACAAGATTTCACGGTACTAAATAGGGGTTTAATTGTGCGGTGTTTGTACTAATGGTAACAATACTGATGAGGTCATGCGTGCAGTTTTTATTTAGCTGTCAGTTAACTCAGCATCTAGACGTAACATACCATTTATACGGTTCTTAAAGGCCCTTCAATAGCACACGATAAATTATCGCGATATCTCAGATATCGAAACTTGGGGTGGCTTTGTGCAGCACATTCCGTTGAGGAAGAACATTTTTCGCGGGATATTTAGCTGGATTCACTTTAGTCTCCCTTCAAAACAAAGTTAGTTCGCAATTGAGAGTACTAAACGGTGTCGGTATTCCGTGATCCATGAGATGGTCTACTAAACAGGACCAATTCGATGATATGGCTATTAAGGTTTCCCACCTTCTTATATGGTTGGACGTTTCGAGCCACATACTCCAAAAGATAAGCGACCTCGGGAAATTTAAAGTAATTTTTGTCAACGAACCTTAAGAGAAAAACTTATTCAGTACTAAGAGACAACAAACTGTCAAAAATACTTTGATTATGTTTGCCTGAATTGAGGAAAATTACCTTACCACATTGTGACACAAGCATACTGAGTTTTTTTTGATTGACTAGTTTAATTAGCTGGGATTATTTCGGTTATCCGTGTGCAATTTTAAGCCGAAACCTGGGAAGCTAAAGTGGGGTTGTTTACTCTTCCAGGCTTAAGTTGTTAGTCAACTGGACAGCTATAATGACGGAATATAGGAGACTCTCCATACGTATAACATTTAGGAGTTACACTTGAGAAAGTTTAGACCAACCTGATCCTATTTGAACACGAAAACAACGTACACATTTAAATTAGCAGGGTACTTTTGTCCAGACCATTATCGTTTGCAGAGGTTGTTGGAATCTGGCCGAATGACTCAGCTTTGCGTCAAAAAGCTTCTTGTCGCTTTGTATTCCACATCTGCAATTCTCAAAACAAAATCACTTTGTATATGAACGTATTTCTCTTATCCTGTCGAAGTGCAACATTCGATTGACTCAAACTTGGGAGCTGAGTCTACCAGATGACGTGAAAGATTCAACGGCATCATAATGAGTAGTGTTTTCCGTCGAAACCGGTCGATCGGATCCAATGGTGTGCTGGTATTATGAGAAAATGGCTAAAAAAATACTGATCAGCTTTCCGTTTCGCGAATACTGGCTTACTTAAACTAATTCAGTGGCAGGTCGAATGGGATTTCTAAGTGAGTGCATTCTGTATATTTGGTGTTTTTCAAACATTTTGGCATTTCAGTCTCACTTCATATTGGCCAAATAATGTAAGTATATAGTTGGCAAAAAACGATCAAGCTGCTTATGATTCACTTTTATGCAAATTAAATGTGGTGTGGTTGCATGTATATGTGCAAATAATCCATGGCCAGATCTCAAGCCTCGATTTTCGGCTGCGTGAGGCCGTTGTATTTTTGGCACTGAATTAATTTTGCAACTTGACGCAGGATCCACCAACGGTGAAAATCTAGCTTTGCGCGGGTTTAAAGCTAACGCTGGGGAAAATTCTGCCCGCGTGCGTCAAAATTATGATAAAATCACCGACATTTTGTGGAACGCACCATATTCGATGGTTTGTTTCATGATTTATTGGAAACTCTTGTTCTCTACGAACGTAAGCAACTGCTTTACGGCAGTGCAGCCCCCAATATCGGGTTGTGGCGTCGGAATGTTGATGCGTATATTGTACATTTGCGACAATTTGATCCCTCTTTTAGCTTTCCTTCACTTTAAATTTGACGTCACCTGAAAAACAAGTCAGTGTTTTTGGGCTTATCTTCTTGAATTATAGTTGAGTTGTTTGAAAAACATTAGGGAATTTTTTTCAAGTAAATCACGTCACACGTTTCGGCTTCTATTGGTTTGAATGTATAATAATACATTTAGACCACCCGTGTTCTGTTTTGCTTTTCATTCCAAAGTCCAGTGATGCATTTGTTACCTACTTTTGCTTTCAAAATTTGTTTTATTTTTACCAATTGAACAAACAATTTACTAGCTTTTCAACTCTAAAATGCATTCCATCTCTGAGGGCTGATTCGTCGTCACTGATTCTGAGCAGGCAGGATTTTTGATATCGTTATAGCAGAGGCAGTATAGCTCAAGTTTGCAAGAGGCTTGTCATTTTAGCTAGATTTATTTACTCAAGGCGAATTCTTTTGGAAGATTATTTGGTTTGGATATTTCCCAAATAAAGTTTTTTGAACAAACAGATCTGTCATTTTTACCAGGTGTTTGCTGGGACACGTGCATCCAGACAATTCGAACGGTAAAGCAGTGGCTTAGCTTTGGCAATTCAACATGTAATCTGCAGCAAAATGATTAAAATTCTCAATAAGTTACTGTTACTGTTACATTATATTACATTATAGCGTTTGAACAGTGAGACAGCCAGCTGCAGCTGATACAGGCGCACCTGCGTTGTAAATCTACACTTGGCTAGCCTCACAGGTTACACCGTTAACTAGAACTGTTTTGTGTTTTGTGGAAGAGGCATCATGATGGCTTTTACAATACAGCTAGGTGTGCTTATTGAATTCTTGGGCGGATGAAGCAAAAAGGCGGATGCTTGTCCTTCGATTCTAGACCCAAAGCTGTAATAAATTTCCTTGACTGAAGAGATATGGGGTCAAACATTTGTTTATGCCGTAAAACCTAAATAAAATATCAAAGGTTGTGTCGACTGAAATTATAACAAAGAATCCAGTGTTTATCAACAAAATTAACGTTGTACTCTTTTTTTACTTCAATTGTAGGATGAGTTTACTGGACCTGAAGACTTGATGCAGTTCTTCACATTCAATAATGTGATATTCTTCAACGTTAAATACATATCATAGGTCATCCTGAAATGATATATCATGGCTTTTACAAAAAACTACTGTTTAACGAATACACACCCATTTGCAAACTAATTTGGTTTTTCTCCAGAGACTCACCTGAACCCAGGTGAAACTCTCGTTTGTGATTTTTTCAGGCAAGTGAATGTGCTGCACTGGGGCGCCTCATGTTTCGGTCGCTACGATGTGCGAGATATCGCGATACATGTAAATATTTGTGATGTACTACTCATAAGCTTGCTGAAAATCCGTCGGCAGCCCACGACCGGTTTCGCCTTTTTTGGGGCTCATCAGGTAAGCGCAGTCCCCGAGTTTCCGTCAAGCTTATGTTCTACTTGAAACCAAATTGCACGAAATTAGCGAATATACACTCATTTGCAAATTAATTTGGTTTATTCCAGAGACTCATCTGGAACCCACTCAGACCTCTCGTTTGTGATGGTTTTCAGGCAGTGTATCGCGATATCTCGAATACCGTATCGACTGAAACATGGGCGCCCCGGCACAGCACATTCAGTTGCCTGAGAACATCGCAAACGAGGGATTCAACTGGGTTCCAGGTGAGTCTCTTCGAAACAAACCAAACTAATTTGCAAATGAGTGTATATTCGCTAATTTCGTGCAATTTGGTTTCAAGTAGCACATAAGCTTGACGGAAACTCGGGGACTGCGCTTACCTGATGAGCCCCAAAAAGGGCGGAACCCGTCGTGGGTTGTCGACATATTTTCAGTAACCTTATGAGTAATACATCACAACTAAACTACTGTTTACTTCTGGAGCAGAGTATTAGATCTTATGTGGACTACGCTTGACTAATTAGACTGAAACAGGACAAGAACGGTTACCAGCTGTTAATGGAGCTCAGGAGGGTTCTATATCAAACTGTGGCCAGTTTCGGGGTGCTGCTTTAGAGAGGAGAATGTTTGCGGAAATAGAACGTGGTTTAGAAGCAGGAAATTACTTGATGAAAATAGGGGAATCAAACTTGCATATCCAGTTTTAGCTAGGAGTTGAGGCTGTAAAGTGGAAACTTTCAACTTACGTCCTCATTTCAGGATTGGAAAGTAAAAGTCTTTTACTAGAAAACAGTATGTCATGACAAACGTTACAACTTATACCGTGTGGTTATTGGTATACTGAACTGTTCACTAATGAGTGCGTCCCACGTAGTATTTTGACGTATTTCCTCGACGGATGAGCTTCAAACACCTTTATTTAGCGAATTAGTGTAGGTGGAAATCTCATTCAAAACATATTCATCTTATATACCTAAAGGTTGTAGGTACTTTTCTGCCCACTCCGGCCAGTGTTAAAGAAAAAATGGAGTGGGATTGCGTAAGCTGAATCTGCTCGCAAAAATGTTTTCTTCAATAATGCATCACGATATGACGATATTCCCACACTTTTTAAGCCACATTGAACATTCACTGCTTACAAGCTGCTTTAAGCCACCAACTGGACTCTTACGACAAAAAAGGTGCCCCACAAAAAGCGTAGGAACAGAAGCAAAACAACTAGGGTAGCGGCGTTGCTCGTTAGTCTACAGAATTCGTCAACGAACAAACCCAGAAAACAGGAAGGAGAAACCATATTGAATCACCAGATGCAGTGGCAGGGAAAGCTTAATCAGGTTAGTTTGTTATAGCCAAACAAAAGCTGTCAGATGAAAAATGCCATTATGCAATCACTGCGTGTGATAAGTTTCCAAACAAATCAGGTGTATGATTATGGGTGTAGGCCACTAGAAAGTCTGTTCATCGATAAACCCAGAATTACAGGGTGCACCCAAGGTAGCTTGGAGCATGCAATGGGAACCATGCCTTAAGGGTGAGGCTTTCATGTAGATCTGGCAGCTGCATTATCATGGAAATATGTGCTTCACTGATTCCTGTCCAGTGAAGATTACTTTGTTTGTGTGAAGTAGGGAGTCGTAAACTCACCTAACAGTCTGATGAAGCTTCTGCAAGTCAGGTGAATAACGTAACCGAACTGAATCAAGTTAACTAATTTAATTCACAAATTATGTACGTGTCAAGGGCTAGCGATGGTGCGCGGCCACCATCGCAAAAAAACTGAGTTGCGTATACCAAAAATGAGTGCCTATCCATATATTACTGTAGGAAGGCAACTGCGGTAAGCTACTTACAGTCCACTAGAAATAAATAAATAAAGTGAGGAAACAAAGAAACCTTTTTACGCCAAGATGAGTTAGAAACTACTAAACACTACTAAACTAAATAGGGCGGCACAAGCAACCAATCAAACACAAGAACGTCAGATCACAACGCAATACAACCCGAGGCCGGAAAGAACGAACTACTAAAAGTAGAAGGCGTGAGGATAACCAATCGACACAAAGGAACGCAGACCACAACGCAACAAAGATCGAAAATGGACCAATAGATTCACCAAATTTGTTACACTTTAAGTAGCCAATCACGTCAGAAGAAAACAGATAGCCCTCGAATGCTATATAAGCGCACGCAGGCAAGGAAGAAGTACCCACTCAACTGCGCACTGATGATGTCTCCTCGTATGGTGACGAAACGTTTGCAAGCCAATTGCCAAGCTCGGCGAACAGATCAACAGCCACCTGATCAACAACCACTAAACACTTCTGTTCAAAAGAGCTGCTTCCATACTGACTTATAATCGATGTGGGCTATATGAAGAGTTTTCATATTTCTTTTTTGAATGAACTTGTTACACTAGTGCAGACTTACACGCACCACTTTCAGTACCAAGTGGTTAATTTTCCGCACAAACTACAAATGGAGACGTCACTGGTGAATTTCAGTATGTGCTTCCTCTACACATATTACTTGAATAAAAACTATGAGGTACGCGTTGCTGAGGATTGTGCAATAAGGAGTGCAGTTAGCACGGGGTTCCAGCGTTTTGGCGTTAACTTGATATTTTTCCACCAAAAAAATTGACTGGAACTTCCAAACTTTTTCAGTGTCTGCAAACTAGAATATCGGAATTCAACAAATACCAAAAACGGTCGACTGAGATGTTCTAATATTTTGTTCTGAAAGTTTTCTAAACTCTCAACTGTCATTTTTGCCTGTTTGGCTGCGGAGTAATAAAAATTGGATGACGCCGTTTTCACAGGGTCTACTGGTGACAACGAATTCCCGTAGGGGTTGAGACAGAAGTATTATGTCTAGATTTTTACGAGCCAAAATCTTTGTTCCTTTGTAAGCTTGGCTTTAAGTGATTCAAGACGTTTGTCAGTTTTAGGACAAAAATTAGCGTATCAAACCGGTGACAAACCTTGGCTTGTTAGGTTCCGTACGGAACACATTTGTTCCATTCTTCCGCTCATTTATCGAACCTACGCTCATCACCTTTACGGAAGCCACAGGCGTGGGCTTGAAGAAAGTTTGGGGGAGGATTCTGATAGACAGAAATTATAGACGACGTTAAGTACGAAAACGGTTTACTTTATATTGTGCTTGAGATAAATCCGAATGATTTTTGCGGCGTCTTCCTTGTTTAACACATTTGTCATTTTTAAACGCAGCAGAATAGTGAAAGGTGTTCGGTGTTAATTGTTAACAAATACATGCCAGAGGTTACGATTATTTGATGGCTCATCACGGATTAGCAGCGGATGTGTCAAAACGTGTTATACCTCAGTCATAGACTGTTAAAATGATCTTCATCAAAAACACATATTTACTATTACCACGTGTTGCGTATTATCAATTACTATGGTTGCAACGTTAAAAACAATACTTTTCAGAGATGTTTGGTAAACAATCCGTGGATTTATTGCTGGGCGACATTTCGCTTTTGACACAAAATGTTCGTCAGACCAAGCGAGTAAGTAAGTAGGTTGATCGGGTTTTAGGTGACTTGATCAGTGCTGGGTTTTCAGTCTGATGTTCCAACTGATTGAAAATAGTACTTTGTTTTGAAGGTGGTTGATGTTTTGGGATTTTAACTTTGCCCCAAAATATTGGTTGCTTTGTAATATTTTAATTGCATTATTGTCGAATTCATACTGAAGACACCGGACCCTAATGTGCAGAATGTTAGCACTGAGGCCGAATAGCATGACATTCCTTCTGGAGTTCTATTCTTGACACACCTAAGTGACTGATGGTGTCTTTTGGTTACTGGTGAACCTGCGCGCTTTAGGAGGTTGTAAAAATCATGGAGTCCTTTACTCTTTCCTAAGTGATTATGCAAGTCAGTAGTACACAGAAAATGACATGTGCATCTTAAAACCTCTGCTATAAGTCAGCTGAGCCATGTTTACTAGGTTTACGTATAAAACTGAAATTCGCCCCGTCTGATTATTACATGTTCCCTATGGTTTGATCAGTAGCTAGCATGGTGATAACGATTCCCACGCACGTGATTAAGTTGTTTGAGATCGTTTTTCGCTATTTGAATGGCAAATCGTTATTTCATATTCGGACCAATTTGTTTTCTCTGGCTGCCGTAGTTGATTATGCATCTGATCTGACATCAACACTGCATTTTGCACTGCAAGTTCTAAAGCGGTCCGTACGACCACAAAGCACCTACTAATTCAGTACCTGTTGCACACACGGTTTCGCCATTATTGAAAATCCGAATTGAGCGAAGTGAATAACGAGCACCATTTAAGTTAATGTCAATTGTAGGGCGGACAAAAAGCAACAGCAAGTAAACATTTTTACACATCACTGGAGTGCCAAAAGAACTGATCCGAATTGCGTCCTACGACGCACGCAGATAAAGTTTGAGACGATTGCAGCAACCCTAAACAGGACTCTACTCGGAAAACCTTTTTGTGTATTTTAATTCATAGTAACATAATGGAATCCAAGGTAAGAAAGCAAACCACTTTCATGACCAGCGCGATATCTCAAGGTCAAGGAACACCACTACACATCGGTAACAACCGCCTACGGAACACACTTCGAAGCTTGTGATTATAACAAGAAGAAACAAATGCACTGGTGGAGATTGATGCTTTTCACAAAGGTCAGCGGAACGCCAGAAA